ATTCTTTTTTGAGTTTTGTAATAATACTTTTTGTAATTTTGATTCCTCTTTTTCAAATCCTATTATTTTATCTTTCTTAAATATTTGTGCAATTTGGTGATATTGTAACCATGTAGTACAGTATTGGGTCACCTCTTCATATGGTCTTAATTTTAATTGGCCCTGTTCTTCCTTTAGGAGCTGCTGGTATGTCGCCATTCTTCCTATAGTATTTTTCTTTTTAACCAATATTACTTCTAACGGTTCTAACAACCTTCTAAATCTCACCCAGACCTTGTATAATGCATTTTGTAATTGCGTGGTTTAGAAATTCTTTATGTACTGCCACTTTGTTATAAATTAGATAGGCATGCCAACCATATCTGTTGTTCCATCCCTCCAAGTCCAAAATGTCACTGTTATCCAAGTTGATCCATTCCTTGATCCAAGTAAAGCATGCCGCATCATGATATAGTCTCAGGTCTGGGAGTCCGAAACCTCCCCACTCTTTTATGTCGGTTAATAATTTATGTTTGATCTGTGGCTTTTTGCCTTGCCAAATAAACTTTGTTAGGTCCGTTTTCCATTTTTTAAAACAATCATCTTTACCTATTATGGGAATCATTTGAAAAAGGAACAAGAGTTTTGGTAAAATATTCATTTTAATAGCTGAAATTCTACCCCAGAGCGTTAAATTCAATCTTGTCCAAGTTTCCATTTCTCCTTTTGTTTCTTCCCAATTTTTTTTATAATTATCTTCAAACAAATTTATATTTTTCATTGTTATTTGTATTCCTAAATATTTCACTTTTTTTACAATTTGTAATCCAAATTTTCTACCAGTTCCTTTTTCTCTTGATCTCCCATGTTTTTACCATTACTTTCATTTTTTCTTTATTCAAAGCAAAACCTGAGACCCTTCCAAAGTTTCCCATTTTTCTAGAGCCTTTGCTATGCTTTCCTTTGGGTTTTCCACCATTAAGACTAAATCATCTGCAAATGCCCTTATTTTGTATATTTTCTCTCCTAGGGATATTCCATTTATTTCTTGATCCAGTCTGATTTCTTGATTTAATATTTCCAAAACCAAACTGAATAATAATGGTGAAAGTGGGCACCCTTGTCTGGTGCCCTTCTGTATTTTAAAATAATCAGTCGTGTCATTATTTATTATTATATTTGCTTCTTGTTGTTCATAAATTGCTTTAAGCCCTCTTGTAATTTGGTCTCCCATGTCCATCTGGTCTAATAATATTTTTAGAAATTTCCATGATACTTTGTCAAACGCCTTTTCCACTTCCACAAAAACAAAGGCTACCTTCTTACTTGGTTTCATGTCTAAATACTCGATCATATCAATCACTGTTCTTATATTATCACTCATTTTCCTGCCCGGCAAGAACCCTGCCTGCTCTTTATTTATGCAATCCTGCAAAACTGTCTTTAATCTTATTGCCAATATTTGTGGGACTTCCGGAGGTGGTGCCATCGGTTAATGGCGGATTCCCTCTAACTCGGAGGGAACCCGCTCCACGGAAATAGGGTCAAATTCCGCTTCGGCGCAGCGGGGACCCCTGAAATCACAGGCGGGTGAAGCCTGTGAACTTGGGACTCGGCGGGCACTGTTTGCGCGCCCCCAATCTGTGAAGGAACCCGGCAATGGGCTCCGGAACGGAACGGGGGTAGTAGCGCTGTGCTGTGAGTCGTCTGCTTCTTCTGTGGAGTGAAGCCGCGTAGCTGTTGCCGGAGAGCGCTGCCTTTCTTCCTTGAAAATCTGGCTTTGAAAACAACGATCTGTGAGTAGGATTTCTACGTAATTAAGGAACTGTACAAAATCTGAAAGAATTTGGCCGAAGCGGAGAGGTATAAAAGGGAAGTCTGCCTCCCGCTTGTGTAGATAAAACAAAGCATTGAACTTGAAAGCGGAAGCTTTAAAAGACGCATAAAAGGACTACAATCCAATCATCTAACCAGGACTTTCCCCCCCTCAACTTGAGGGAAGAGGGGGGGAAGCTTTGAATGTTATTTTTTTAAGAAGAAGTGAGAAAGAGGAGATAAAAACCACCGCTCAAACCCCCTGGAACGGGTTCCCAGTGACAGTAAAAAGTTGGAGAAAAGGTACTGCCTTTGAACATATTTTGACAGCTAGTCCTGCATTTGAAATACAATTTGGATACAATATTGCTGACAGGTACCTCCTGGTCTCAAAGTAACTGTTTAAGATAGACTGTTATCTTTCTGGTGAATTGGGGGGACTTAAGGAAGAAGTAAATTATTTAAGAACTTTATGACTGTTACAGTGTCCCCTAGTGGAATTTGGAACTTGTTACAACTAGTTACAATTGCAGCTGGCCTGAGGAATTTCTCACACTGCCTTCTTGGAACTTTCCACTTCAAAACAATTTTGAATCTAACCGTGTGACTGACCTTGAGTTTTATCTAGAAGGGTATGGCAGATGGAAAAGAGAAGCTAGAGTCGTTACAAGCAACAAGGTCGGGCAGATTATTGCGAACAGACGGTGGACTGCAAAGGAGAGCCTCGACTTCTGGCCCCTCTGGGGTTCCAATAGCAGCCTCATCGGCACAACCTAAAACTAAAGGTAGGGCAAGTGACGATGCCTTTGCTCAGGTTCTGGCTAAAATTAATGAATCTTTGGATAGAATAAGCAAACAAGTAGCAGAGGCATCAGATAAGATTGATCAAAATACAACAAGTATTAATCAAAATACAGTAAGTTTAAATAATTTGGGACAGAAAGTAAATACTAATACAGAGACTATTCAGAAACTATTAGAGGAATCGGCCTCAACACGTCAGATTGCCAAAGAGGCTAAAGAAATTGCTACAGCTACTGTTGCAGAGGTTCAAGAGAAGATACCACCGTTACATAAGCAACTTGAAGACCATAAGTTAACTCTGTCTATGATTGAGTTGAAGGAGAAACAAGTGAACTTAAGGGTCAGAGCCGTACCTGAAGTGGAGAAAGACAATTTAGTTGATTTTCTTACACAGGAATTCTTGGATTTTTGGAATCCAGAATTGGTAAAAGACAGTTTCAAAATAGTGAATGCTTTTAGACTTGGAAAAGGAGGAGGAAAGAAGGTGAGAGATTGTTTGATCACTCTCCGAACAAAAGAAGAGAGGGACAAGATCTTGGGTTTGCATTTCCAGAAGACACTGGAAATACATCAGTCAAAAGTGGAGATATTTAAAGACATTCCGAAACACCTTCTGGATCTCACATCTAACTACAAAGACCTGGTCACCTTGTTGAGAAGTAATAGAATTAACTTTAGGTGGGAATTTCTTCAAGGCCTATCCTTTAGTTACAAAGGAAAGAAGAGGAAAATAAGATCGGAAGACGACAAAGACAAATTCTGGAGAGACCACGGAGAAGACCTACAAAAGAAAGTCACAGGAGAGTTAAGAGCAATTGCAAGAGAAACTTTAGACATACCAGGACTATCTCTGGAACTAAAAGACCGCCTGAAAAACGTGATACCACCAACGGAACAGGAACAGGCACTAGGTGCTGTTGGAGGAGAACTAAAATAATTACATCATGGCCCTGCAACTACTAACCTGGAACTGTCATGGCCTGAATTCCCCTCAGAAAAGGAAATCAGTGTTTCATTTATTAAAAAAGGAACAATTGGATTTGATCTGTCTACAAGAAACACATATAACAAGATTACACAGGAAATTGTTGATAAATAAAAGACTTGGTCAGGAGTTTATTTCATCGGACAAAGTTAAAAAAAGAGGGGTTGTGATTTATGCAAAGGACAGACTATCACCGAAATTTATTTTTAAAGATGACCAAGGAAGATTTGTGGCAATTGAAATTCAAACACAATGATACACAGGTGGTACATAACCCCAGTCAAGCTTGCAAAAATCTACCATTTGCCCGATAATAAATGTTGGAAATGTAAAGAAACTGAAGGTACATTTTTTCACCTTTGGTGGACATGCCCAAAGATTAAGGCTTTCTGGGAAATGATATATAATGAATTAAGAAAGGTATTTAAATATACCTTCTTGAAGAAACCAGAGGCCTTTCTCCTGGGCATAGTCGGCCAATCGGTGTTAAAAAAGGATAGAACTTTCTTTATGTACGCAACAACAGCAGCAAGAATACTCATCGCAAAGTATTGGAAGACACAAGAACTACCCACACTGGAGGAATGGCAGATGAAACTGATGGACTATATGGAACTGGCAGAAATGACTGGTAGAATCCGTGACCAGGGAGAAGAGTCGGTGGAAGAAGATTGGAAGAAATTTAAAGATTACCTACAGAAACACTGCAAAATTAAAGAATGTTAGAGTGATGATGGATTGAAATTAAGTGGTTTCTAGCTGCACAGGCGTTAAAGTTATATACAGACTAAGATTAAGGATTAGGCATAAAAGGTTAAAAGAACGGAAAACTGGCTATTAATAGATAAGAATTTAATGTTATACCATATTAAGATTAAGAAATGGGATTAAAAAGAGGGAAAGAAATTGCTGGACAAACAAATTGAACTGGAATACAAAAGAGGGAGGTATGAGGAGGTCCAGAAAATAAGTAAATTCAAAAGTGGTGATGAAAAGATGGTATTGTTTTTAACTGGTTTTTTTCCTTTTTTTTGTATTTTGTATTGTCTATTTTTGTATTGTGTATTTTTCTTTTTACTTTTAAATTCTTTTTTTACTGATGTGTCTTTTTTATCGGAAACTTTAATAAATATCATTTGAAAAAAATATATATATTGTGCATAGATCTTGTAATCATTATTTAGTAATGATATTGGTCTATAATTGGTTATAAACTCTTTATTTCGTCCTTGTTTTGGGATTACTACTATGTGAGCCTGTTTCCAGGTGTTGGGAATCTTCCCGTCTTCTAGTATTCTATTTAAGAGTGTCTTCATAGGTGATAATAATGGTTCCTCTAATTTTTTGTAATGTATTGCGGTAAGACCATCTGGACCTGGGGATTTTCCCAGTTTCATCTTAATTATCGCTTGATGAAGCTCTGTCGTGGTTATTGGGGAGTTTAGATCTTGAATCTTTTCAATACTTTTTTTTTTGGAAAAGATTCAAGATCTAAACTCCCCAATAACCACGACAGAGATTGGGACAGGAGTTTATTTCATCTGACAAAGTTAAAAAAAGAGGAGTAGTGATTTATGCAAAGGAGAGATTATCACCGAAATTTATCTTTAAAGATGATCAAGGAAGATTTGTGGCAATTGAAATTAAAATACAAGGAGAGAAATTTTTGATAGTAGGAGTTTATGCACCGAATGAGGGGAAATCTGAATTCTTTAAAACGTTGCATGAGACTTTAATGGACTATTTGGATTACAATCTGATTTTGATGGGGGATATGAATGGAGTGGTATCTACAAACATGGATAAGGCACAAAGACAGGTAGTCACCAAGGATGGTAGACTACCGAAAACATTTTTTGAGATGACAGACAACTTGGACTTAGTCGACATCTGGAGAACAAAGAATCCCTTGGGAAGAGAGGGAACTTTCTTTTCTGAAGCCAAGATGACATGGACTAGAATTGACCAAATATGGGTAACTAGAGGAATGGCACCAAAGATAAAGAAAGCGGAAATTTGTCCAAAAACCTGCTCCGACCATAATGCTGTAAGGATGGAGATGAAACTAATATCAACTGGCTCCTTCAGATGGAGGATGAATGACACCTTATTTAGAGATGAAGATGTGATTAAGAAGGCCCAAAAACTTTGAGAGACTATTTTGAGATAAATATGAACACTAATGTTGAAAAAAGAGTAATCTGGGACGCAAGCAAAGCGGTTATGAGAGGGTTCCTGATACAACAGAATGAAATAAAGAAGAGAAGCCAAAATGAGAAGAAAGACAAAATTTTGGAGAAAATAAAAGAAAGTAGAAGAAATTGAGAGCAAAACCAAAGTCGCAGGAGATTTTGAGAGAAATAAAGTTATATCAAGTAGAATATATGAAATTGAATCAGGAAATAGAATGGAAAATTAAACAAATGAGACAAAAAACATTTGAATCAGCTAATAAATGTGGGAAATTGCTGGCTTGGCAAATGAAAAAAAGACAAAAATTAAATACTATTATAAATTTAGAAGTGGAAGGAAAGAACATACAGAACCCAGCCGAGATTAGAAACTGTTTCCAGAGGTACTTTAAACAATTATATACACAAGGGCCACAGAAAGAAATTGACATAGATCGATTTTTGAAGATGAATGAACTACAAAAAATCTCTCAAGAAAGTAAATTAATGTTGAACTATAAAATATCTGAACAGGAAGTAGAAGGTGCCATTCAAAACATGCAACTAGGCAAATCTCCAGGACCAGATGGGCTGACTTCTAGATACTATAGATCCTTGAAAGAGTGGTTAGTACAACCTCTAAAAGAAGTCTGCAATGAAATATTGGAAGGGAAAAGGGCACCAGAGTCGTGGAAAGAAGCGTATATTACACTTATACCGAAAACAGAGACTGAAAAGACTCAGCTTAAGAACTACCGCCCCATATCATTACTTAATGTGGATTACAAAATTTTTGCAGATATTTTGGCCAAGAGATTGAAAAAGTGTTGATGGAAGAGATTCATAAAGACCAAGCGGGCTTTCTCCCGGGTAGACACTTGTCTGACAATTTGAGGAATATAATTAATATTTTGGAAAAACTAGAAGTGAATATCAACACTAAGGCAGTTTTGATATTTGTGGACGCGGAGAAAGCTTTTGATAATATTTCTTGGAGCTTTATGAAGAAGAACTTACAGGGGATGGGGGTGGGTGAAGGATTTGAAAATGGTATAGGTGCAATTTATTCTGAACAAAAGGCCAAATTAATTGTTAATAATGAGGTGACAGAGGAATTCAAGATAGAAAAAGGGACACGACTAGGCTGCCCAATTTCCCCATTGCTTTTTATATCAGTCCTGGAGGTTTTATTGAATATGATTAGAAGGGACCAGTTGGTTAAAGGTATACAAGTCGGAGCTAGACAGTATAAATTGAGAGCTTTTGCAGATGACTTAGTATTGACATTACAGGAGCCAGAATCTAGTACTAAAAGAGTTTTGGAATTGATTCAAGAATTTGGTCAAGTTGCAGGATTTAAACTGAATAAGTTAAAAACAAAGGTTTTAGAGAAAAATTTAACAGTGATTGAAAGAGAAAGGTTTCAGAATGAGACAGGTTTAACAGTGGTTAAGAAAGTGAAATACCTTGGGATTAATATGACAGCTAAAAATGGGAACTTATTTAAAGACAATTATGAAAAATGTTGGACGGAAGTGAAAAAAGACTTAGAAATTTGGTCAAATTTGAAGCTTTCATTGCTAGGCCGTATTGCTGCGATAAAAATGAATGTATTGCCTAGAATGTTGTTTCTGTTTCAAACATTGCAAATCGTGGACAAAATGGATTGCTTCAAGAAGTGGCAGAGAGCTATCTCTAGATTTGTCTGGCAGGGCAAGAAGCCCAGAATAAAATTTAAAATATTAACGGATGCAAAGGAAAGAGGTGGATTTGCCCTGCCAGACCTTAAACTTTATTATGAATCAGCAGCTTTTTGCTGGCTGAAAGAATGGCTGCTTCTTGAAAACACAGACATTTTGGATTTAGAAGGCTTTAATAATGTATTTGGATGGCATGCATATTTGTGGTATGATAAGGTCAAAGCACATAAAGCATTTAAGAACCATATTGTCAGGAAAGCATTGTTTAATGTTTGGATAAGATATAAGGATTTATTGGAAAACAAAACCCCAAGGTGGCTGTCACCGATGGAAGCAAAAGCACAGAAAAAGCTCAATATGGAGGCCAAATGGCCGAAATATTGGGAAATTTTCGAACAAGAGGGAGATAGACTGAAATTGCAGAGTTTTGAGAAACTAAAAAACAAAGTGCGAAATTGGCTTCATTATTATCAGATAATGGAGGCATACAATTTGGACAAGAAAATTGGCTTCCATGTGGAAAAATCAAAATTAGAAACAGAACTGTTAGAACCCAAAACTAAGATTTTGTCAAAGATGTATAACTTGCTGTTGAAATGGAATACTCAGGATGAAACGGTGAAATCTGCTATGATCAAATGGGCACAAGATGTTGGACATAACATAATGATGGCTGACTGGGAACAGTTATGGACCACAGGTATGAAGTTTATGGCATGTAATGCCTTAAGAGAGAATATTATGAAAATGATATACAGGTGGTACATGACCCCAGTCAAGCTTGCAAAAATTTATCATTTGCCCGATAATAAATGTTGGAAATGCAAAGAAACTGAAGGTACATTCTTTCACCTTTGGTGGACGTGCCCAAGGATTAAGGCTTTCTGGGAGATGATCTATAACGAAATGAAAAAGGTATTTAAATATACCTTTCTGAAGAAACCAGAGGCCTTTCTTCTGGGCATTGTCGACCAATTGGTGCCAAAGAAGGACAGAACTTTTTTATGTATGCCACAACAGCAGCAAGAATACTCATTGCAAAGTATTGGAAGACACAAGATCTACCCACTCTGGAAGAATGGCAGATGAAGGTGATGGACTATATGGAACTGGCGGAAATGACTGGCAGAATCCGAGACCAGGGAGAAGAGTCGGTGGAAGAAGATTGGAAGAAATTTAAAGCCTATTTAAAGAAATATTGTAAAATTAATGAATGTTAGAATGATGTTGGATAGAAAGTAAGTGGTTTCTAGCTGTAATACTATAAGGGAATATGAAAAATGGATTACTAACAGGTAAAAATTTAACGCTACAATATTTTAAGATTGAAGACTTGGATAAACAAAGAGGGGAAGGATTTGCTGAACCAACAAACTGAACTGGAATACAAAAAAGGGAGGCGTGAGGAGGTCCGGGAAATAAGCTAATGAAAAATAAGTAATGGAAAGATTGAGTTGTTTTTAACTATTTTTATTTTGTATTTTTCTTTTTTCTATTTTTATTTTGTAATATTTTGAAAATTTCAATAAATATTTTATTAAAAAAAAATAGATCTTGAATCTTTTCTTTCTTAATTTTAGGTATGTCCTTTCCACATAAATACTCTTTTATTTCATCCTCTGTCTCATTTCCTGCTTTATATAGCTTATTATAATATTTTATAAAGCACTTTTTAACTTCTTCAGGATTATCTAAAGTTCTCCCTTCTTCCACAATTTTATCAATCAGTTTTTCCTTTTGTCTTTTTTTCACTTGCCAGGCTAGCATCTTTCCGGGTTTATTTGCAAATTCGAACGACCTTTGTTTAATCCATTTAATATTGTCCTCAATTTCACTATTTAATATTGCTGAAGCCTGGGTTTGTAATATTTTTAGTTTTGGTTTATTAATTCATTTTTGGTTGTTTTGTTAATAATTTTTCATTTCTTCCTATTTCTTTCCTTATTTGTTCTAGTTTTTGCTCTCTGTTTCTTTTCCTTATTGCACTTTGTTGTATGTAAAAGCCTCTTATGAAAGCTTTACTTGCATCCCATATTGTCCTGATGTCTGTATCCTGTTCTTTATTTAATTCAAAAAATTCTTTCATTAGTTCTTTCGCTTTTTTCACAATCTTTTCGTCATTTAATATTCTTTCATTAAGTCTCCATCTTTTATTAGTTTCCTTGTATTCCTTTAATTCTAATGTGACTGGGTTGTGATCTGTAATAATTTTGGTCTGTATTTCTGCTTTTTTAATTTTAGTTGTTAAGTTATTTGATACCCATATGCTGTCAATTCTGCCGGCTGATTGTTTTACTTCCGAGAAATGTGTATACTGTCTTTCTCCTGGGTTTTTATATCTCCATGTGTCAATCAAATTTAAGTTTTCTACCATCTGAAAGAAGGTATCTGGGAGTCTGGCTTTTTTTGATTTTCTTTCTCTCTGTGTCCTATCTAGTTCTATTGATGTGACACCATTTAGGTCTCCCATCAGAATAATTTCCTCTTCTATAAATTCCAGTAAATTAGCTTCTACTTTCCTGAAGAATTCTGTTTTGTTACCATTCGGTGCATAAACTCCTACTATAATTAAATGTTCTTTACCTTTTGTTATTTTTACCCCTAATAATCTACCTTCATCATCCTTAAAGTTTTTTTTTGCGTCTAGTTTAGGGTTCACATAGATCACAATTCCCCTTTTCTTTTTTACATCTGAGGATATAAATTCTTGACCCAATCTCTTGTTTTCTAAAACCCTTCTGTGATTTCTAGTCACATGGGTCTCCTGCAAGCATATGATATCCCATTGTTCTTTCCTCAATACATGTTCTATTTTATTTCTCTTCCTCTTATCATTTAAACCGTTAACGTTCCAAGATATAATTTTTAGATTCATTAATCTTTATTTATTATCTACAAAGGTTTCATTGAGTAAATAAAGGAAAAAAGAAAAGAAAAAGAAAAAAAACTCAGAAATTTTAGGATTTTGATATTATGTTTCTTCCAATCTCTCCCCCCCCCTTGATACCCGCTTGTCTCTCTATGCTTCTTGTGGCGTCTGCGTTGTTTCCTCTCGCTCCAATGTCGGATCTCCAGTTAGTTCTTTTTTATACTTCCTCCAGAATTTTCCCAGCTCTTCTACTGATCTAAAAGTTTTTCTTCTGTCCTTGTATGTGAAGGTGATGCCCTCAGGGAATTCCCACCGAAATCTAATCGAATTCTTCTTGAGTGCATCTGTTACTGTCTTATAGTTCTGCCTTTTCTTCAAAATTCTTTTTGGGATTTCCTTAAATATTTTGATAGGCCTATCTTCTATTATTAACTTCGCTTGTCCTTTTTGATGTAATATTTTGTCCTTTAAAAGTCTTGAGTTGAAAAAAAATAAGCAATCTCCTGGCCCTTTGTAAGTGTCCGATCTTTCTGATTTGATCCTGAAAATTTTATCAATATCCAATAGCATCTCTTCTACTTCTACTCCCAACCAGTTTGCAATCTCCTGTGATAGTTTCTCTTGAATTTGTTCATCATAAGTTTGTGGTACGCCTCGGAAGCGGAGGACCATCTCCTTCTGACACATCTCCATCAATGATAAATCATCTAGCAGCTCTTCATGGGCTCTCTTTAAGTCGTTTATTTCTTCCTTCGTTGAATCTTGTGATTTTTTAATGTCCTTATTTTCAATTTGCAATTTCTTCGTCATTTCCTCTTGTTTGGTGGATTTACTCTTGAGTTCTTGTACAGATTTAGCCAGTTCTTTATTTTTAAGTGAGAGGTCACTTATTTGTGTTGTTAAGTCTATTATTAGCTTTGAGTTTTGTTGGATGTTGCCAGCTAATATGTCCAGCTTATCATTCAGGCTCTTTTCCATCCCCATTATAAGATCTTTTATGTCAGCATTGGGGTCTGTTTCAGCTGTTGATTGTCTTCTCACTTGTAGACCTGACCCAGATGTCAGTGTAGTTTGGTATTTTTTAGAAGCCATATTTGTCTTCTTCCTTTTGGTTCTGATCTAGATGTCTTTATTTCAATCAAGAATATATATATTCCTAAAACTTTGAAAATGCTCTGTTTATAGTCTATAATTTGGTCCTTTTATTCCATCTGTTGGGATTGAAAGTCAGTTAAGATTCCGGTGGTTTACCCTATATCATTACCAGTTCATCTCAAATATTAAAAAAAAAAAATCAGTTTTAATATAAATTTAGTTAAATATTTTGTTTTATTTTAATTACTTTGGCAGTTGTCAGAGAAAAATTCCTTTGCAGTACTTAACATCCGTCTTAAGAACTTATTTTCTAGAAGCTGAACTTGGTATTTCAGGTATCCTTTCATGTATAGCTAGTTTTCTTTATGATTGTGCTTCAAGCCTGTGTCTTAGCAGCGCTTTTTTTAATTATGGGAGTAATTTTATTTTCCAATTTACCAATTTTCCAATTTACTTGTGAGGTGGTCCTTCTTGTTTTGTTTCTCTAGCCTCTCTTTGTTGCAGTGACTGTTTCCGCCACTATTCTTCTTCTGGCTTTTTCCCATCTGAGGGCAATGACTCACACTTCCCCCCCCCCCAGCGCCATTTTCGCCAACTGCTTTCTTCCTTATTACCGTCTTTTCCCTTCTTTTCCCTCCTTCTTTCTCTCCCTTCGTATATCTCTTCTTCCCTTTCACTTCCTTATCTTAATCTTTATCTTCCCACGCTGCCTGGTCTTCAAATCTTTTCTATTCCTTCTCTTTTCCACTGTCTCCTCCACGTTCCTCCCCCTCCTTTTTCTTTTCCACTCACCCTTTGTTTTACGCTGATCTCCTTCTTAATGGCCGCTGCTTTGTTGTCCCCGCTGCTGCTTGTTATTTCAGCTCCTTGTCTCTCTCAACAGAGCGTCCCCCTGTAGAAGCAGGTACTCAGTATGTCTCAGTTTTTATTTTCTGCCTCTTTACAAGGCTTATTTTCCACAACTTGATAAGTCTCAGAACGCTGAAGCTCCTCTCTCCATTAGCTTTACTGTCCTTTATATTAAGTTAGTCCGTGCTCCTTTTATTTTAATTTAAGCCAGCGTTATTGCCTTCTTGCTTCAGGAGTACTCTTGATTTTACAGTTTTAGTTTGGAGCAGCCTGGTGCTTTCTCATTCGGGTCTAAGGGGCGTCTCACGGTCGGGTGTGCAATCTTTCTGCGCTGAGATTCTTCCACCTTCCTCCACTTTTTGTGCTGGAACGGCAGAAAACCCCTTTATGCGCTGCTTGGATCTGTTTTCTTCAGTCTGGAACCTCCTCTCAGACCTCTTCAGGGTTTGCGTCGCCCTCGCTTCCCCGTCTTTTTATCCCGTATCCGTGATTGGGAGCGCTCTTACTGCAGCAAAGCGCTTTCCCTGACCCGACGCTGAGCGCACCACGCCAGGAAGTCCAGGGCTTTAAAGGTTAAAACCAGCACCTTAAACCTGATCCTGTACTCCACCGGGAGCCAGTGCAGCTGGTATAGCACTGGGTGAATGTGATCTCGCAGCGAAGACCCCGTAAGGAGTCTCGCTGCAGCATTTTGCACCCGCTGGAGTTTCTGGGTCAGTCTCAAGGGCAGCCCCACGTAGAGCGAGTTACAATAATCCAGTCTGGAGGTGACCGTCTCGTGGATCACAGTGGCTAGGTTAGGGCGAGAGAGGTAAGGAGCCAACTGCTTAGCTTGGCGGAGATGGAAAAATGCCGCCTTTGTTGTAGCTGCAATCTGCGCCTCCATGGAAAGGGAGGTGTCGAAGATTACACCCAAACTCTTAACGGACGGTGCTGGCACTAACTGCGCCCCGGCAAGAGATGGGAGTTGCCCCCCCCCATCCCATATCGTCCCGTCCCAGCCACAGGACCTCTGTCTTCGAAGGATTTAGCTTCAACCGGCTCCCACGTAACCATCCAGCCACAGCTTCCAAACATCTGGTCACTGTGTCTGGGGCCGAGTCAGGATGGCCATCCATCAACAGATAGAGTTGGGTGTCATCAGCATACTGATGGCAACCCAGCCCAAAACTCCGGACAAGCTGGGCGAGGGGGCGCATAAAGATGTTGAAAAGCATCGGGGAGAGTATCGCACCCTGAGGTACTCCACACACCAAGGAGTGGGGCGATGACAATTCCCCCCCAAGCACCACCCTCTGTCCCCGACCAGAGAGAAACGAGCGCAGCTATTGAAGGACTGTGCCCTGGATCCCCATGTCGGCAAGGCGGTGGTCCAGGAGTTCGTGATCGACCATGTCGAAAGCTGCTGACAGATCTAGAAGAATCAGCAGCCCTGACCCACCTCGATCCAGCTGTCTATGAAGATCATCTGTTAGGGCAACCAGAGCCGTCTCGGTCCCATGACCAGCGCAGAAGCCGGACTGGAATGGATCCAGAGCCGATGTTTCATCCAGAAACCCACCAAGCTGTTCAGCAACCGCTCTCTCAATCACCTTACCCAGGAACGGAAGATTCGAAACCGGGCGGTAATTGGATAGATCTAAAGGATCTAATGATGTTTTCTTTAAGAGCGGGCGCACCACTGCCTCCTTCAGTTCCCCTGGGAATGTCCCCATGCCAAGGGACAAATTGATGATATCCCCCGGGGGGCCCGCACCTCGTCTGGACACGCTCTAATCAGCCAAGACGGGCACGGGTCAAGAGGACAGGTGGTGGGCTTTCCAGCTCGGAGGAGTCTGTCCACATCGGCTGGGGATATCCGGTTGAAGTGGTCCAATACTGGACCCGAGGACAGTCGAGGGGCCTCCAGTTCCTTTATTGTATCCAAATTGGCAGGGAGGTCATGGCGGAGCAACAAGACCTTCTCCGCAAAAAAGCTCGCAAATGCCTCACAGCTGTGTGTCAAATTGTTATTTAAATTTGGCTGTGCCTCAAGGGACGTTAAAGACCTGATTATACTAAATAATTGCCCCGGGCGAGAGCTAGCGGATGCAATGGAGGCCGAGAAGTAAGACTTCTTAGCAGCCTTCACCGCCATCTCGTAGGTTTTCATAAAAGTCCTATAAGATGTTCTTGAGGCTCCGTCACGGGCACCCCGCCATACTCGCTCTAGCCGTCTGAGGTCCCGCTTCATTTTCCGGAGCTCCTCGGTAAACCAGGGAGCCCGGTTTCTGCGGGGTCGCAGAGGGCGCTTAGGTGCGATCTCATCGATGGCTGCCAGGAGCTGGATATTCCAGCCCTCAACAAGCTCAATCAGTGAGTCGCCAGGAGGAGCAAGGTCCCGCAAGGCTTGGTGGAATCTATCAGGGTCCATCAGCCTCTGCGGGCGAGCCCAAATCGGCTCGCCACCTAAGCAGGGTGGGGGTGGAAAGTCAATCCTGGCTTTCAGAGTGTAGTGATCAGACCATGGCACCTTCATCGAAGGAGACATGATCACATCTATACCTACGCCAAAGATCAAATCCAGCATGTGGCCTGCTTGATGTGTGGGGCCCAAAACAAAGTGGAAGAGCCCTAGTGTCGCCATGGAAGACACCAGGTCCAGAGCCTGTGAGGAGGGAGTGGCATCAGCATGGATGTTGAAGTCCCCCAATACCAATAGGTTAGGGAACTCCAAGGCCCAGCCGGCCACCGCCTCCAATAGGCCTGACAGGGTGGCTGCTGGTGCGCTAGGTGGCCGGTACACCAGCCAGACAGCCAAGCTCTCCTCAGAGCCCCACACTAGGCCAACACATTCAATGCCGGGGATCGATGGCGATGGTAGAGCCCTGAAAGGACAATCTTCCCGGATTAATAATGCCACCCCTCCCCCCCGGCCCACAGTCCGCGACTGGTGGAGGACAGAGAAACCCGGGGGCGCCATCTCTCGTAAGGTAACTGTTGCCCCTTCGCGCACCCAGGTCTCCGTCACACAAGCCAGGTCAACCCCCTGCGAGATAAAGAAATCTCGCAGGGTGGTGGTTTTGTTGCCTATAGACCTGGCATTGCACAGCACCAGTGACGGAGGTGAGTAATCCTTGCTCACCCTACCCTCGTCCCTCAGGATGAGGCGCAGATTGGAAGGGGTACGAGCATATCCATATCTCAATCCCCTTCGCCTATAACATCTGCCCCCACCGCCATACCTCCCTCGCCCCTCCACGGTAGCAATCCCAAGCCTCATAGTAGCCTCCATTGATGGCAATTAATGTTATTCTTTCGCAGCCTAAAACAATAAAACCTTAAAACAATAAAAACAAAAAACAAAAACAACCCAGAAAACAATAAAACAATACAAATAAAAACTGCAAATATTACAAATTCATCAAAATCTAACAAATTCCCAAGCCCACCCAAACATCCCTCCCACCCCCATATATAAAACATCTAAAGGGAAAGGGAGATTTTAAAACATGTTAAAAGAACTCTGCACCCCTCCGGGTCCTCCTGGGCAGTAGCAGCATCAGTGGCAACAACCGTCCTTGTGAGGCCCCACCCTGGGCCAGATAGTAGGTGGCAGGAGCAGTCCTTGTGAGGCCTGTCAGGCCCCGCCCTGGGCCAGGTGGTAAGTGGCAGGAAGGAGCAGGGCCCTCAGGCACTCACACAGGGGAGTCCTCCTGGGCAGCAGAGCAGTCCTTTTGAGGCTTCAGGCCCCGCCCCAGGCCAGATGGTAAGTGGCAAGAGCAGGGCCCTCAGGCACTCACACAGGGGAGTCCTCCTGGGCAGCAGAGCAGTCCTTTTGAGGCTTCAGGCCCCGCCCCAGGCCAGATGGTAAGTGGCAAGAGCAGGGCCCTCAGACACTCACACAGGGGAGTACTATTTTGGGGGGACAGGAGGTGGGCAGGTGTGGAGGACTCCCTGGTCCTTTCCCCTCCTTCCCTGGTTTCTTTGTTTTCCACCTTTCCTGAATATTTTAATTTTCCAAAAGCTACTCTTATTACTCTCTTGTAATGATGTAGTGATGTTGGGAAATCTTAGTGTGTTAGAACTTTGGTTCATGCAGGAGAAGAGCATTGTGGGAGAGCCAAAACCTGTGGAATGCTCAGAATGTGTATCTGGTTCTTTAATTG